TATAATTATATTGGATGGTGCTAATAGGAGAGAGAGAGAGAGATGTAATCATACAATTTTATTTTACAAAATGTAAGTTTATTAACCTTGAATGACTGGCCGGGAGTGCCCAGCGTTACGATCCCATAGTAGTCAAAGTTATAATCATTTGTTAATGTCACTATTGTTTGTCTAACTGTTCTTGATACATGTGAGTTATTATCACCAATTTGGTCTAGATTATTCAGGTAAATACGTATATATTTGTTTATCTCGGTAGAGTAACCACCTCTGTGTCTCATTAATCTCAGAAAATGTTTACGTTGGTCATTACAATGGGATTTTTCATAATACAACTTTATCCTGGTCAAACATTCTGTCAATTCAATCAGCAGGCATAGTATTAGAAATAAGATTAACACATAAATTATTTTCATTTTATATTTAACAAGATAATAACAATTTTTAGTATATTTTTGTATTTGAAAATGTTTCCTAAAGTAAGTCGCTATTTAAACATTAATTTTGACCTAGTTTATTCTACTACTATTAACAACATTGAAGTATTGTTCTAGTATAATATTAATTATATAATATTAATGATAAATGTTAAAATAGAAAACTTGTCTATATCAAATATTATTTATTACAATTAAATAAAAATAGTTAAACAATGTTTCTAGCTAATTAATTATAATGTCACATATAAAGTTACAAACATAAATGTTAGTTTTTATTGTTAAATAATGTAAACTATGTTTGTTAAAAAGTTATTTAAAAAGTTTAAACATATTATTAAATCTAATCTAATTGGTATTATAATAATTACGCATTTTTTAATGTGCAAACTTTGCAAAAGTATATTTACTAATTTTAAACAGTTGAAATAATTAATAAAAATATAGAATGTTGTGTTTATGGTCCAATTAATTATACTATTATGTCATTCAAAATACATAAAATAAATTACTAACTTTTTTACAGTCAATAAAATATACAATAAAATACAGACCGTGCATGAATATGATTTTATATTTTTATAGTGACAATACAAGCATATTTATCAATTTATATGTAAAATAATATTGAGATATCGTAAACATTATAAGATACTATAAATGTTAAACAGATTAATTATTTAATATAATATTTATTTATTATGAAAATATTAAAAGTACAAAATTAATTATTTTGATGGAGCGAATCCCAGCCGATTATTACCAAAATCAAACTCAGTATAATAGGGACCGATAAACACGTCACCCAAAGTCCACAAATCATTGGACTGTTGATTATCAACAAAACCTGACACACATTGATCGCCGTCTGTCAGTATATACTGTGCGGGCGTTAACGGGAATGCTGTGCCACCGATGGTAAACTCAATGTTTGGCAATTGACCTTGCATAAATGCATTACAATTAACATTATAAATGCCACTGCCATTGTCTGTACCGTTTAAAAAATTATTTATAGCTTGAATATCAGCAGTGGGGCCAGCGATCAGTGTTGTGCTCGTATCGGCAAGTGCCTGACAGCCACCGGCGCAAATCTGAGGTCCGCCGTTGGCCACATTACCCCCATCCATCGCGAATTGCCAATAGCCCTGTTGGCTAACACTAACGTACGTAAGGGTGCCGGTATAGTGGTCGGGGTCTGAGCCGCCCAACAGTAGTTCACCGCCCGGTTGGCCATTAATGTCACGGTTCAGGTAGAATGAAAATACAGGGGCTACCAATCACTGTTTGATCAGGTTGTTAAACGGGGGTGTAGCGCCCGAAGCGGCCAGTAATGGGTAACCCATGCCTAGTATACCGTCATAGACTGATTCAGGGTAATTGAGCGTGGTGATCTCGGAAAATATCTGATTCTCTACTATTAAGCCTCCAAAGTTTAGCACATCCTGGTCCAAAGTACCGGTAGCACTACTACCATCTCCATAGGCAATGAAAAAGTCGATGCCGTTGGGCTCGTATGTGGTCGACACCGCGGCGTTGTATCCATCGGTATTTGGGCACCCGGTTCGACAGTTTATGGACGGCACCCATAGGTCGGAGCTGCCCGTGTCAAACAGTACCTATTTGTGCATAATAAAATAATTAATAATTAAGTGGCTAGATAAATATTTTCATCATACATAAATGTATACATACTTTGAATGTTTGTGGTGGAGTGCCCAGTGATATCATTCCGTAATAGTCTGAATTATAATCATTGGTCAGTAATACTTGTGCTTGTCTAACTGGTCTAAGTCTGTTTGGATGGCCAGGTTTAGCCGGGCCATAGTTATGACCATAGACATGACCAATGGAATGACCAGTGGAATGACCAGCTTTATATGGTCTTGGTACTTTATGGCCATGATCGCGGTGACCATTTTTGTTGGATTTTCCTGAATACAATTTTATGCGGAATAATGCGTCGCCCATCATAATCATTATAAACAGTATTATAAGCAGATAAGTTACGTTTAGAAATTTCATTGTAAATTTGATATTATATTTACAAATAAATTTTTAATATTTTTGCAGTAACTTTTTTTAGTAAAAAAAAATTTCAAAATTTACGCGATATTTGTATCATTATTTTGACCTGGTTATTTTTATTAATAGTTATTCATACTGGATATTACTTACTAAAATATTTACTATGTCTTATATAATAACAAATTGTTTATATAAATATAAAATAAATGATAATTTATTTTTATATAATATATTGTACTAAACTGGTTCATCCTAATTATTTACAAAATATATAACAAAAATTATTATATATTTAATTACTGTCAAATAACAAAAAACAATGTTAGTTTTATAATGTTTGTAATTAATATAAAATGACAATGTTTATACTTTTTTAGTATTATTTATATATTGAGCACATAAATTAATCTTGATCGAATGTGTGTTAAACTAGGTTAATAAACTAGTTGTGAGTCCCATAATTTATTTTATTTTTTCAATTACAGGGACAAACGCTTATGCTAAAATTAATAATGAAAAATTAAATAATTAATATTATTTATAAAATTGTGTAATGTACTCTATGCTTACATACAACCTTTTTTGTTTATTTCATTTAAATTTAAAGTTAATGACACTTTTATTTCTCTCCAATTTAATTATAATTAGATAAAAACACAATGCTAAAACATATTCCATGTAATAAATGTTAATGCGATGCCAGAAATATTTTGGCATTTCCTGGGAAATCTGACAATTTTGGGCAAATTTTCCTGGATTTGAGTTTACATTTACTGCAAAACTACATGTGCTGATATTTTATTAAATGTTGTAACTAATACATCTACTGTTTTTAAAATTTTTTTTAATAGTTACATATATATTTAAATGGTCATATCAGTTTTTATACTACTATTGTTAGCAATATCTATAAATATCATTGAAAACACACTAGCCCATATTTATAGAGTTTGTTAAATACTATTTTTACAACTCATTTATCCAAAATTTAAGTCCTGGATTTTTCCATGTCCAGGAATTACCCCTCCCTGGACTCTGCAAAAATTGTCCATTTCCTGGATTATCCAGGACGTTCCTAGACATCTGGCATCGCTAGACATGAATATTAAAATTTTCATTTATTTCCATTATTTCCAATTTAGATTATTAAGGAAAATTACCAACAAATGTATTCATCGTACATGTATTGATATATAATATATTAATATATAATATGTAATATATATAATATTACTAGCTTATTGCCCATTAAAAGGGGTATATAATTGCATACCAACTTTGCAAACATTAGGCCTTTTCCATAGCGTTCTCGTGTATTGCTTAAGGCTCTGCCTGTAGGCAGCGATCAGAGCCAAAGAAAATTAAATTTTAATATAAATATAATCTATTATATAAGTCAACAGGGAAAAAACAGTACGTGTATTGCTTAAGGCTCTGCCTGTAGGCAGCGATCAGAGCCAAAGAGAGTGTGAGAGAGAGAACGCACTACACGTACTGTTTTTTCCCTGTTGACTTATATAATAGATTATATTTATATTAAAATTTAATTATATTTACATATGATATTTATTTTTAAAAATATAACGTAAAAACAGTTTTTTTCAATTATTTAATTTAAACAAATATAATGTAGATTTGTTTGTAATTTTTAAATAAGTTTACAGTCATTTGCACAAACCTGCAATCAAAATACATAAACAAACATTATTTTGCAAATTATGCTTTTCTTAACGATTTTTTGAAATTTTTGAAAATAAAATATTTATGCTCGGCTAATATTATTTAAATCAGAATACAAACATAATAAAACCAAATTTTATTGAGATTAACTAACGATTGTTGAATGTATCATTAACAAATACATATAATTATAATTTCATTGAACAAATACACAAAACTATTAAAATATTTTTAAAAATAGTATCAAATTAAACAGCCTGGGCAAATCCAAGCCTACTATTGCCAAAATCAAACTCAGTATAATAGGGGCCGATAAACACGTCACCTAAAGTCCACATATCATCGGATTGTTGGGTATTATAAGAAAAACCTGACAGACATTGATTGCCGTTAGACAGTATATACTGTGCGGGCCTTAATGTAAACGCTGTGCTACCGATTGTAAACTAAAATTTTAATATTTTTGCAATAACTTTTTTATTAGTAAAAATATTTTCAAAATTGTTCACCCCCGAAATAGCTATGTCGCAATTACCATATTTTTAAAAATAGTATTAAATTAAACAGCTTGGGCAAATCCAAGCCTACTATTGCCAAAGTCAAACTCGGTATAATAGGGGCCGATAAACACGTCACCCAAAGTCCATATGGTGGCTGAGCTACCTGTATCATAACCAAAACCGGACAGACAAATACCATCATTATTAACTACATACTGATTAGGTGTGAGCGGAAACTCCACACCATTAATCCAAAAGCTAATCACTGGTAAATTAGCCACACTATTACAATCCACATTATAATAGCCATTACCCTGATCTTGGCCATTGATAAAAGAATTTATATTACTTATATCAGCTGTGGGTCCTATAATCAGGGTGGTCCCGGTGTCGGCCATTGCCATACAACCACCCTGACAAAACTGTGGACCCCCATTGGCCACACTACCTCCACCCATATTAAACGACCACCATAATTGTTGAGCGTTTTGACTGAGCGGTACTACCGGTACGTACGTAAGGGCGCCGGTGTAGTGGTCGGGGTCTGAGCCGCCCAACAGTAGTTCACCGCCCGGTTGGCCATTAATGTCACGGTTCAGGTAGAATGAGAATACCGGGGCTACCGATCCCTGATTGATCAGGTTGTTAAACGGCGGCAAAGCCTGGTCAATGGCGTTGGCGGGCCAGGCCATGCCCAGTATACCGTCGTAGGCGGTGTTTAGGTTGGACCCGGTGACCATGGTGGCCTCGGCAAATGTTTGTTGGTTAATTATTAGGCCGCCAAAGTTGAGCGCATCGATGTCTAACACACCGGCGGTCTGGCCTCCGCTGTTGTAGTTTATGGTGAATGGTTGGCCAGTTTGTTGACATGTGCTAGATGCGGCTGGGTTGAATTTGTTTTTATTTTGGCATGCTGCACAATTTATAGATGGTACCCATAGGTCGGAGCTTCCCGTATCAAATTGTACCTAATCATAATTTATATTACAAAATTATTATGTTAATTATTATATTTATTAATTAATAATAATTATAATGAGAGTGAGTGAGTGAGAGAGAGAGAGAGAGATGTAATCATACAAAATGTAAGTTTACAAACCTTGAATGATTGGCCGGAAGTGCCCAGCGTTACGATGCCATAGTAGTCAAAGTTATAATCATTTGTTAATGTCACTAATGTTTGTCTAACTGTTCTTGGTACATGTGAGCCATTATCACCAATGTGGTCTAGATTATTCAGGTAATTATGTATATAATTGTTTATCTTGGTAGAGTAACCACCTCTGTGTCTCATTAATCTCGGAAAATGTTTACGATGGGATTTTTCATAATACAACTTTATCCTGGTCAAACATTCTGTCAAATCAATTAGCAGGCACAATATTATAAATAAGATTAACACATAAATTATTTTCATTGTATATTTAACAAAAGTATAACAATTTTTAGTAGTTTTGTTTATTTGAAAATGTTTTCCAAATTGAGTCGCTATTTAAACATTAATTTTGACCTAGTTTATTTTAATACTGTTAGCTATATTAATGTATTGTTCTAGTATACTATTAATTATATAATATTAATGGTAAATGTTAGAATAGAAAACTTGTAAATATAAAATATTATTTATTACAAACAAATAAAAATATTTAAACAATGTTTCTAGCTAATTAATAATAATGTCACATATACAAACATGAATGTTAGTTTTTATTGTTAAATAATGTCAACTATGTTCATTAAAAAAAATTTATTTAAAAAGTTGAAACATGCAATATGATTATATATACATTAATAATTATTGGTATTATAATTATTGGTATTATTAGTTTTAAACTAGTAAACTTTGCAAAACATACTCAAAAATTTGAAACAATTTTGAAATAATTAATAGAAATATACAGTGTGATAGGTGTACATATGTAGTAATTTTTGTTGATGGTTTGGTCCAATAAATTATAATATAATTTTGTTCAAAACACATTGAATAAATTTCTAACTTTTTACAGTTAGTAAAATATACAATAATTAGAGAGAACCACTTCATCAGTCATTTGCAATTGTCTCCCTAGTAGGAAGGAGGCCCGTATACACACAAACATTTCAACGTCAGTCAACACAATATTCTCAAATATGGCTAACGAAAAAGCAATAATACGTCACCCGAGCTGGGAATCCGAGTCTGGCGTACCAACCCTTGTCCCCAAATGAGCGGGGCCAATTTTCCGGCTTTAACCCAAATGTCGGGACTCTTCTAAATAATTTAATTGACCCAAAATTAATTAAATATTTAAAAGAATTTAAATATCCATTGATTGGTTTTTTATTTTCCTCATAAAATCTGTTCGATTGATATATTGCATGATATAATTGTTAATCAATTACATTGATATTTTGACTAAATGTTCTCCCGAACGAAATTGTCACTACTGGAGAATGTCCGGGACATGCATATAACATTTCTGACAACCATTTTAAAAACATTATTTTTACTGATGTCGCAATGTTTTGGGTGTATACGGACCCCTTTCCTACTTTCCCAGAGCCGAAACCTTGAGCCGAAATGTTTCTCTCTGACAATAATATACAGGAAGGGCATAAAAATGACTTCATATTTTTAATAGGGACAATACAAACATATTTATCAATTTTTATGTGAATTAATATTGAGATATCGTAAACATTATAAAATACTAAAATATTTATATTTGTTAGAGCAGATATATTAATTAATTTTATATTTATTTATTATAAAAATATAAAATTACAAAGTTAATTATTTTGATGGCGCGAATCCAAGCTGATTATTATCAAAATCAAACTCAGTATAATAGGGACCGATAAACACATCACCCAAAGTCCACATATCTTCGGACTGTTGGATATTATAAGCAAACCCTGACATACATTGATCGCCGTTGGACTGTATATACTGTGCCGGCGTTAACGGGAATTCTTTACCACTGATGGTAAATTCAATATTTGGCAATTGACCTAGCATAGTGCAATCAACATTATAGGTGCCATCGCCATTGTCTACACCATTTATAGCGGTATTTATAGCTTGAATATCAGGGGTGGGGCCCATGATCAGGGATGTGCCCGTATCGGCAAACGCCTGACAGCCACAGGTGCAAAACTGAGGTCCGTTGTTGGTCACACTACCCCCATCCATTGCGAATTGCCAATAGCCCTGTTGGCTAACACTAACGTACGTAAGGGCGCCGATATAGTGGGCGGGATCTGAGCCGCCCAGCAGTAGTTCACCGCTCGGTTGGCCATTAATGTCACGGTTCAGGTAGAATGAAAACACCGGGACTACCAATCCCTGATTGATCATGTTGTTAAACGGCGGTGTAACGCCCGAATTGGCCAGTGACGGGTATCCCATGCCTAGTATTCCGTCATAGACTGAATCAGGGTTATTGAGCGTGGTAATCTCGGCAAATATCTGATTTTGTACTGTTAAGCCACCAAAGTTCAACACATCCTGGTCCAAAATGCCGCTGACATTACTGCCATCGCCGTAGCCAATGAATAAGGCGGCGCCGTTGGCCTGGTATGTGATCGACGCCCCGGAGTTGTATTCAACGGTATTTGTGCACCCGGTTTGACAGTTTATGGACGGCATCCATAGGTCGGAGCTGCCCGTATCAAACATGATCTATTTGTGCATAATAATATAATATATTTAAAATTTTATAATTATTAATATATAAATAAATAAAATTTAAAAAAATAAAAATTTTCATCATGCCTAAATATATACATACTTTGAATGTTTGTGGTGGAGTGCCCAGTGATATAATTCCGTAATAGTCTGAATTAAAATCATTGGTCAGTAATACTTGTGCTTGTCTAACTGGTCTAGGTCTGTTTGGGTGGCCAGGTTTAGCCGGGCCAACTTGATGAGTACTAATTGGTTGACCATAGCTATGACCAATAGAATGGCCAGTTTTAGAATGTCTTGGTACTTTAGGGCCATGATCACGGTGACCATTTTTGTTGGATTTTCCTGAATACAATTTAATGCGAAATAATGCGTTGCCCATCATAATCATTATAAACAATATTAGAAGTAGGTAAGTTATGTTTAAAACTTTCATTATAAATTTGAAATTAAAAATTAAATTTTTAATATATTTGTAATTATTTTTTTAGTAATTTTTTTCCAAATTAAGCGATATTTATCTCATAATTTTGACCTTGTTAGTTTTAGTAATAGTTATTAATACTGAATATTATTTACTGAAATATTTACTATAAGTTATATAATAACAAATTGTTCAAATAAATATAAAATTAATGATTATTTATTTTTATATAATAAATTTTTCATTTATTTAATATTATTATATAAAAATACTATATAATAATTAATTACATTGAACAATGCGCATGGTTTCGCAAACTAAACTGGTTCATCCTAATTAATTAAAAATATATGACAAAAATTATTAATAACTATTATTATTATTATAAATATTATGAACAATTTTATATTTAATTACTACCAGATAAAAGAAGAAAGATTATTGTTTTTATAATTGTTATAATTAATATGAAATGACAATCTTTATATTTCTAGTATTATTTATGTATTGAGCACACAAATTAATCTAGATCAATGCTTGTTGAACTAATATTAGGTTAATGAACTAGTTGTAAGTCTTATAATTTATTTCATTGTGTCAATTACAGAGACACGCGCTTATGGTAATTATATACTACAATTATTTATAAAATTATAATTTTACAATTATTTATATTTTTTATTAAAATTTTAATTTAAATGTCCTGGTGTTTTCACCCAATTTAATTATAATTGCATAAAAACATAATTCTAAAACTACTCTATGTAATAAATTACAGTTTTAATTAATTGCATACGCTATAAATAATATATTAATAAATGCATTAATAATTTTTAAAAGAAAATATAAATTATTAATTATAACAAACACATCAATGAATTAATTAAAACAAGGCTCAAAAATGAGCTCTATTTATTTGGTTAAGGTAAATGCAACATTTAATTATTATTATTATAAAATCCATCAAACGTAATATGGATAACAATCCAATTTATTATTGATTATACTAACTTAATTGTATTAAAATTATATCACGTTCATAATTATATTTATATGTTATATAAAGAATCAATCTGTGCACACTAAAATTTTTATAATTTTATAATATAATTATAATTGCATAAAAACGTAATTCTAAGATTATTCCATCTAATAAATAGCAGCTTAATTTTGCTGAATATATACAATTAATCATACATTCAAACAGATAATAATAAATTTCAAAATACCATTTAATTGATTAATTATAACAAAAACATCAATGAATTACAAATAACAAGGTACAAAACAATGAGTTCTATTTATTTTGTTAAAATGAACTTAGAATATCCATCCATATTATATTTATTTTAAGTTTAATAATGTTATATTTTTAACGTATAATTATGCAAATATTGATTACACTCTAATCGCGTGACCGGCGATAATTAGGTTACGTTCGGTAATGACTTCACTAAACGGCAATCCATGACATACTGACCGTCGCTCTAATATGTGGCGCCAATCGCACGGTTTATGCGCACAATCTTATGCTGCGGTCACACTATTAGCCAAGTGCCGGTGTCTGCGATGGACTTATGCCTACACGTGCTTAAAACACGCTCACATTTACTTATAATATATCAAAGGTACATAAATTATATTGTAAGTTAATACCTTGAAAAATTAACCAAAGTATTAATTAATCATGTAATTTAAGGACGGTTCTAATCGAGGCCAACCAAATAATTACACAAATATTTAGGTAAATATATTATAGTTTGTATATTTAACAAATAAACGAATTTTTAGTGTATTTCAATGCAATTTCTATGTTGTCAACTAATCTATGTTATCAACCAAATGCCATGGAACCGTTTTGTTGATAACACAGATGTTTGACTGTAACTGTATTGTCTATTTTGGTTGAATGATTATTCAATGCTTTTCTATGAGAAATTTGTCCGTTACTAAATCTGACATATTTCTGTAGCAGTGATAGTTAACTAGGCAAATTATATATGGAATTACTCTGGTGTTATCAGGCAACAATTCTGTGAAAACAGATTCAAAATTGAATCATCCAGTCAAAAGTTATTCGCGTTTTTCGGACTAAAGATAGTTATTTGGAAAACTGTATAATGTTTGCCAATTAGTTAATTATTTGTAATATTTTGGCAGTTTATTTCAAATCAAATTATATTGTCAAAATATATTTTTGTATAAAACACATCAACACATTGTACTGTATTATAATTACAACTAATTTACTTAGCTAACCTTAATTAAACTTTTATAATAAACTGTAACATAATATCAAATACACAATATAATTATAATCGTATTAAAATTATTAATTAACCGGTTCTATTTCACCGTGAGATATTTATAAAATTTAATTGCATTACATTTTTTGTATTTAATAAATAAAATATATCACTCTTTACAAATTATTACAAAACATAATATTTAAGCATCTGGTTAATTTTATATACATTACATGTTTTCAGTATTTATAGTATTATAAAAATTTAATTTCATATTAATTCATTAGTGAATATCATTTTATTAAAATTTAAACACAATTTATTTAATTATATTAAAACTAATTATTAATCTGTAACAAAATTTATAATTTTGCACAAATTTATACTTAAATTAGAGGTGCAAGGTATTTTCAATCTAAACATTGTTTTAAACAATCTAAACACTATTTCCAATCTGTAAATATTTTTGTTTATTTTAATTCTTATAAAATATAATAATATTTGTTTTGAAAATTACTTGAAAATATAAATAAAATTATAAGAATAAACTGACAAATAATAATCTTTGTAAGATCACTGCAAGGGAACCATTAAAATGACAATTTTATAAATTGATACATATGTATTGATGTCCAATATTTACAACATGCAATTTTGTGAAAACAATCACGTGGTTATATTCTAAAAGCATTGAACGATTTGCGGACCCATCGTAACAGACAATCTGTTTATTACAGGGATGTTATGTTTGTAGAAAAAAGATGTAAAGTGTTTTATAAATTTAAAATCACAAATTGGATATATTAATTAGTTTTGGGCAATTTTTGACACCATAGGCTAAATAAGCCATTGACATATTATACAGTATCAAGGTGTATTCTTTGACAAAATTAACTCAATTTTTCTTTTCTTCCAATTACTAAGTTGAAAATAATTATGATACAAATATATCTTTAAGTTTAACATTAGTTTACAGTCAGTTACACAAATCTGCAATCAAAATTGTGAACCAACATGATGATTTACAAATTATGATTTAATTGACCATTTGTAGAATATTATGATTAATTATAAAAAATTATAATAACTAATATGAAAATGTAAATTTAACGTAACTAATGTATGTAACTAATTAAATTTATAACAAACTGTAACTTAATTTTAAATATACAATAAAATTATAATCATGTTTAAATGGTAAATTAAATGGGTTTGACAGAAAATTATCAAACATATAATTTTTTATTTGTTTAACCCTAGAAGCTTAAACTGGGAGATTAGTCTCCCATTTGCACTTTGAATTTCAATTAAAAATCAACAAAGAGTGCTAGCTAGAAAAAAATCCAGAAATGCCTCATAAGTAGTTAAATTTATAAATATGTAAAGTTATATAATTATAAATTATATGATTAATTAATTATCATGGTTTAATTAAAGTTTTGGTAATTATTCTCCCAGTTTATGCGCAATGCAACTTTTTTCCTGCAGTATAAATAGTGCTAATCTTTTTCTGCGTCTACTGCATAAACTGGGAGATTTATCTCCCAGCATTAAACTGCATAAACTGGGAGACTATTCTCCCAGCATAAACAGCACTAAAGCGTGGGAGACTAATCTCCCAGTTTATGCATTAACTGCTGGGAGATTAGTTTCCCAGTTTATTTACAACGTTCATAATTATAGTTTAAGCTTTAAGGGTTAACACTGTGTATAATATACGTTAATTATTAATATTTATTGCAAGTCCCAGCATGTACTGTACATTGATGTAATTATCAAAATCTAAGAATAAAGGTAATATAAAATAATCGTTAATTGATTTATTAAAACTATATCTCATATTACATTAATGCTTTATTATTCATATATGATTTTTAATGGATGTTTTACTCTTATCAATATATTGATTTATAATGTTCTTTTTGTAAGGTAAAGTGAATACAGTATACGGTGATATTATACTTGTGTAAATGTATTATGCTTAATTTTTTTCATTTATATTTAAATTCATTTATTATAGACGTTAATCATTAAATATAAGCTGAAATTAATTAATTTTACTGTGGTATTTTATACTACACTAAAATAAATTTAAAATACATAAATTACCTTATTAAAGCAACTTATTAAAATAACATAACAGTATATTACCAGAAAGACTACTGTATATTTCTTATTATAGTATTATACATAAGTAATAATTATTAATTATAGATAGCATAATTTACATGATTCATTAGTGTCCGTTTATCCAAGTTAAATCTACAGATTGAATTATTGCATTAAATTCATGCGGTGATCTAACATGTAGTAATTTGGCAAACGTGTTAATAATATAATTAATTTGTTTAATTAAAACAATCTAACTACAGTTCACCAGGCTGATATTGGGGGCTGACATACACTTACCAGATTTGTCCGATGGGATGAATGTGAGTCATCACACATTCCCTGTTATCGACCAATATTTTTACTCAATAATACCCGCCTTTGTCTCCCGGCTTTCGTAATTAATTAGTAAACACTATATTATTAAATATAAACTATTAATTAACTCTAGGATTCAAACGGGAATAAAAAATGTTTTAAGTGTTGATAAGTTGTTGTTCACTAATAACTGTGTAATGAGCGGTCGCAGGGGCTGTGGTTTATATACGTGGGGAAAGTAAATATAAGGTGGGGAAAAAATAATGTATAATTCATAATTGGTTTATCCAGGTCTAAATGGGAGTGTATTTAGAATAAAATTTTATTTTAAACTTCTAA